ATTTACTATAATTCAAATCATTGTTCTAGCTGTTCTCCAGAATAAAATCTTAGGCTGTGCTTGCTTGAATCTTCTTGTGAGGAGCTGGAAAAATCAGGTAGGAACTACCCCACCCTTCCTGCCTCAAAGTCACAGGGCTGAGGAAATACCATTACAATCTAAGGAGTGTTCCCAGAGAGTGAAGCTCTGACCTAAGGAGTTGTTTTTAAGGGTGGGGAGTAATTATGGTTTATCCTAATGCGTGGAACTTTCCACCTTAGAGCTAGTCTGCTTTCTACCATCCCTGTCCACTCAGTTTTATTGGCTGCTCATTGCTAGACAAGTGTAGCTGATAATGCCAGAAAAATAAGCTCACCCAAATAACAAAATATTGGAAGAACACAACTATTTCAAAGGAAAAATAACAGAGGATATCAGAAACAAAAATATTAGGACAAATGAGTTAATAAATTTAGCCTAATAAATCCAATAAAAAATATAGGAAGGTATTACCAGTAATAACAAGATGGCATTAAGAAAACTAAGCAGAAAATTTAGATGTGAAACATAAAATAGTTGAATTTACAGTAACTTAGGGAATGAATAAATACTTGGAGGACCAGATTTAGAGAAAGTCTTAAAAAAGGAGGGGACAGATAAATAGGGGAAAAAATTTAAGGCAATGTGAGAATAAAAAAATGAAACTTGAACATTCAGGTAGATAATAGCTCAAAGAAGAGTGAAAAAAAATGAAGAGGGGAAAATATTTGAAAAAGTAATTGAGATCAGTTTTCCAGAATGAAAAGACTAACCTCAGATTTAAAGGACCCATAGAACACCACAAAAGAGAATGAAGAAAATCCCATCTACACATACTAACTGAAATGTAAGAATAAGAACAAATTCTAAAAAGCTTACAGAAAGAAAGAGCAGGCTATATAAAAGAGTGAGCTTGACATCAGATTTTTTAATAGCAAGACTGAATGCAAGGTAACTGGAATCTTATTTTCAACATATCGATGGAAAAGAACTTAAAACCTAGAATTTTATATCCAGCCAAATTATCATTCAGATAAGAGGAGATGATAAAATTTCCTTAGGCATGAAAGCGCTCTGACAATTTTTATAAAAAGGCCCATATTGAAAATAAATTGAGATTTATGAAGAAAACGTACTTCATACGTTAGTAAAGTTAATAGTTGTCTTTATAAATTACTAAGACTAATGAGAAAATACCCTTAATAACTGGAAATTAAAAGTTAATATCATCATTAATGGATTGGCAGAGGATGGCTAGATCAAAGGATGTGGGAGCATATTGAAGTTCTTGTCTTACAGAAGATATCTGTAGATAACAAATTTTTTAAAAGGAGGCTTAAACCTAAGATCTGAAACTGTGAGACTACTAGAAGAAAACATAAGGGAAACACTCCAAGACATTGGTTTAGACAGAGAGTTTATGGCTAAGACCTTAAAAGCACAGGCAAAAGAAAAAAGAAAACTGTATTAAACTAAAAAGCTTCTGCACAGCAAAGCAAACGAACAGAGAAGAGACAATCTATCTCTTCGATAGTTTGTTTGTAAACTATTTACCTGACAAGGCACTCATATACAGAATGTACAAGGAATTCAATCAGCAGAAAAATCTAATACCATTAAAAAGTGGCAAAGGACATGAATAGACATTTCCCAAAAGAAGACATACAAATGGCCAACAGGTTTATGAAAAAAGTGGTCAACATAACAAATCATCAGAGAAATGTAAATCAAAACCACAATCAGCAGGGCCTGGTGGTGCACACCTATAGTCTCAGCTACTCGGGAGACTAAGTTGGGAGTATCGCTTGAGCCCAGGGGTTTGAGGCTGCTATGATGACGCCTATAGATAGACACTGCACTCCCATCTGTGACCCCATCTCTTAAAAAAAAAAAAAAAAGACAAAGATGACATCTCTCCCCAGTTAGAATGGCTGTTCAGCTGTGGTTGATGATTCTAATCGTCCCATCTCTGCTGAAGACAATCCTGTGATCTCTACCATCTCCGGTAGCACAAAGAACAAAAGACATTACCCTGCCTCTCCCAACTGCTGGCCTGAGACGAGGATGCAGGTTTTAGTTCTCAAAAAGGAGTAGAGGATGTTTTAAAGAGACAGAAAATATTTTTTCTGTTTTTTCAGGCCATTTCCTCTGTTGCAGGTGGAGTGCTGGTGTATGTGGGTTTGAGAAAAATTTCTCCAAAGATTAGGATAGAAAGAAGAAATTTATTTTACTTTTTACTTTTCCCAAGGTGGGAAACGGGCCAACACGATGAAAAGGAGTAAGGGGAAAAGTGTGTTGGCAGAGAGAATCAGATATTCGGCTTTTTATTTAGGAATTATAAAAAATGGGTGAAGATGATTTATGGTTGTAGCTAACAGGGTACTGTGATCTCTACTTAGATATTTTCCTGTTATTTCAGCAAGGCTGCCCCTTTCAGTTATTAGCATAACACTGAAAGGATGACCCATAAAAGAAAGAAAAATTGATGAATGACCTTAGTCAAAAGTTCTCCTCTTTAAAAATTACCGTTAAGATTATAAAATAGAGGGAGAAAAATTACTAAGTATTTATCTGATGAAGGACTTAAATTCAGAATATATTTTTTAAAATTCTCAACATTCAGTAATTAGAAAACAACCCAATATGTTAAAATTGACAAATGGCTTTAATAGATGTGACTCCCAAGAGGATAAGTGGCAAATAAGCAGTGTAAAAAACTGGAATTTTGAACCATGTGCTAAACCACTGTGGGTCTTCTGGTTCTATGGAGGTTTTTAGAGTTACTTTTAGGTTCAAAGGAATTTTCTTTTTAAAGTGAGTTCAGCTCTTTGTTCTGGTGCTCTTGCTCTTGGGAGATCCTGTTCTTTGTAGCCCAGTGTCCTGGGTTCCCCACCACCCACCTGAATGCCTTTTCTGCCTGGCTGGTGGACAAGGTGCACAGGCAGATGGTGTCTCAACTGGGGAATTATGAGCTGGCAAGAGGGCTGTTCTGACCTGTGGCTAAGTCACCACTGAGAGTTCTTTCTTAGAGCTGTATTTTTATAGACTGCTTTAAGGGGAAAACTAAATGAAATGGAAGCATCTGTAGTAGACCATTTGAAAATTTTCAGTTCTGAATTACGAATTACAGGCTGTCATTCGTACAGCATTTGTATTAGAAGTGAGACTAACACTACCTAACAGAATAACTTCAAGATAGCCAAAACGTAGTGGGTTCCTTTGAAAGAATCTTCACCCAAGGCTGTAACTTGAGAATAGGCTTTCAAAATGGGTGTTTAGAATATGGAGGGAAAGAGAAGTCTCAGATCAATAATAGGGAGATAAGTTGAAAAAGTCTGAGTGAGCCTAGGAAAATGCTTCTTTCCTAAACTGAATGGAGGAATTAATGGGAGGGAGTGCTAGAAGATGGTCAAAACAACATTGTTACAGTGTGTCTTGCACCTACACATTACCTGCCTTAACTTGGCTTCAACTGATTGTGCTTACTAGACCAGAAGGGATAATTATACCTACCACCTCTCCTCACTCTGATTTTTACATTCCTCTAACTGAATGCACATTGGGGGAAACTTTAAAAAAGAATATAAGAACAATTTAAAGGCTTTCCAGTTAGTGACAAAGGGAAATGAATTATTCAGATGGCGAACAAATGGTAGTGGCTTTGTAAGGCATCTTTGAGTAAGAAATCAAAGACCAAATTGAGAGAAATGATTATTCAATTGTCTACAAGGTTTTAAACATAAAACATTTTGAGTGATTTTAGAAATTGTTAAGGGTAATTTTGACTTGTGTCAATAATTTACAATGCCACTACGCCAAAATGTGGAGCCAGATCTGGTTATATGAGACTTAAATAGATTTACAACATTCTAAAACAATTGAGTGCCTTGTTGAGAATTTCTTCTAGAGAGTTCAAAGGGTCCGTTTACATGCTTGTTTTTCTTTTCCCATTTTGACCTCTAAAATGTCCAGAGGTAGAAAAATCATTTACCTCAAGATAATGCTCATGCTCCTTTCCAAGTGTTTTTTTTAGGCTTAAATAAATGTGATAGTTTTTAAGCTGTTTAGAGTATGTAGGAGGACCTGAGACACTAGGATCTTTCCTTTTTGTATAAATATTTAATACTTACTTTGATCAAAGCAACGGGTTGTAAACTATGAGCGTTGCCAGTGTTTCTGGTAAAAGCAAGGGCAGAAAGTAACATTACGAGGTATACTGTCACTGTAGTATTCTGTCAAGCCATTTTTCTTTAATTATGTCCTGCAGTTATTTCATGTAATGAAATGTTTGTTGCTTGGCTGTTGGCATGTCAGGACAATTTGAGTAGAATATATTCTTTCCCTTTTTTAGAGATACTTAAATGCTCATAAATTAGAGTGAAAAACTTTTATGCTACTGTTTTTATTTTTTCCTTAGGATTCAAGGACTTATTCTGGACACAGTATATTTTTCTTATTGGAACATCATAGGTTGTGATAGAGCTGTGGCAGCAGAATCAGAAAAGAAGGGTATCCTAGAGAGAGACATGATTTGATAGGGAAAGCTGCTGGCTCTCACACGTCTTCCTATATCCTCCTGATTCTTGGTCCAAGGGCAATATTTGTTGTATTCCAAGGCCAGATGTAAAACAGTATTCATCTATTTTTAAATTGTCAGTAACTCTTTTAACTTCTAAATGTAACTATATTAGAATTTTGAAAATCTTATAATTGTTTTGGAGAATTTCTAATTTTCATTAGAAAATTTCCTTTCCTTACACTTAGATATCTTCTTATATCCCTCTGGTAGTATTTGTTTAAAATATGATTCTGAGAATCAGAATGTACCTACTTAATTCTTTGTTTGAAATTGTTGCTCCTCTTAGAGATAGATAAATGCCTTACTAGATTAAATCTGTATAAATTACTTTGGCAAGATTTACAGATACAAGGTGGTTAAAAAAAGAACTGAACTTTAGATGGTTTTGATAACTGTTGTTTAGGAAACAGTGCTGCTGAAGCATCCTTTCAGTACTGTGAAACAAGAACAGCAGAGAAAATGGATTGAAGAGTTGAATAAGCAAATAGAAGATGACCGGCAAAGAAAAATAGAGGAAAAAATTATATATTCAAAGGTAACTTATGAGGTTTAATGTCTATAAGAGAAAAAAATAATAATTTCAAAGTCTTTAACCATATTAACCTAGAGGTACTCTGAAACTGCTTGACAAGACCAGAGTATTCAAATTATTCCACATTTGCCCGTGGGAACCTGTTTTCATTGAATGCATTTAATGTGATTCCGCATTGTTTCTTTTAACTAACTTTTTAGAAATTTCCTGATTCTTTGAATTTCTCATTTTTTCCAAGCTAGTTATCTACATGCATAAGGAATCAAAACAATACAATTTTTATGATTCTTATTCTGCTTTTGAATGATTTTTAGAAATTGTTTGTTATTTAGGATTTTATGTGAGAATAACTGGAAAAATTCTTAGCAATTCTTATTTGTCTTAATTAGGGTGAGGAACATGACAGATGGGCAATGCATTTTGATTCATTAAAGGATTATCCTGGTTCTCAGTCTCAACTGTCCTCTCGATCAACACACAAACAACCAGAGTACTTTTGCGTCTCTCCTGACACTCAGGAGCTGGCTGATACCAGCAGTGTTTTTACACCTACAACTGGAAGCCAGGTTGAACCTTCAGAGGAGGAGCATATAGCAAAACCTGTTAGGGATGTGGTTATGGCAAACAATCAGAGAACAAAGTAAGTTCATTCTTACGTATTTATTGATTTTTAAGAAAGTCTTCGTGCTTTGATAGGACTGTTATGTCTATTTGGTTTCAGGTATGGCATTTTTCTTTGAAATAGAAATGATTAGTAGATTTATCCAAAGCAAAAATGATTTAGCTTGTTGAACCCACCTTTTTGGGGTTTTTGTATAGCTAATGTATGTATCTTGCCAGCTTTCTCCGTTCTATGACTGCTCTCTTGGACCCAGCTCAGATTGAGGAACGAGACAGACGTCGACAAAAACAGTTAGAACATCAGGTATTGCATTGTAAAACATTGTTGTTTGCCTTAGTAAGTAATATGTATGGCCAACATGTACCTAAGTGAATGGAAATTAAAATTCCGATGTAAACTTACAGCACAGGTCCTATCCAGTCCTGTGATGAATCTAATCCTTACCCCATCTGCACTGTGCTATTAGAATCATGCTTATGTTGAGAACTAGACAATGTCACATACTATAGCCATCTGCCTTCTGATAGAGAAGGTCTTTAATATATAAGTTGTATGAATTTGTACTGTCTCAGGTTAGTATTGGGTACTTTTCTATCAATTTCTTTTTTCTGAGTTGTGTTCAGGATGAGAATTATTAATAGTTCTTTGAAAGGAAACTATAGCGGGTTGAAGTAGAATTATGATTAAGAAATCTAGCAGATTAATATAAGCAAGGCTAAGATTAAAACTCCAATTTTAATCTAATACTAAAGGGACTTAAATGTCTGAATAATTCTTTAAAACCTTTGTTATTTGATGAATTTGGTATAATGTTACACTTACTCAGTTCAGTGAGCAGACATAGAGCAGCTACTACTTACCAGGCACTATGCTAAGCACTGAACTTATTTCTTCAGTTGTTTTTCTATCATTTCTCCTAACAGCCCTCCTGGGATTGAAGAAAAAGCATGTATTTAAAGTTTCAAATAGGAAGTTAAGAAAGAGAGAAAGAAAAAGCATGTAGAACTTGACACAGGACAAGTGGGTGATGGGAGAAATGCATAGGAAATTTGACATTTCACTTCACTCATATATGTAATACTTTCTGTATACTGATAAAACTTTCGTTTTTTTTTTTGGCGACAGGGTCTCACTTTGTTGCCTAGGATAGAGTGCAGTAGTGTCATCATAGCTCTCACTGCAACCTCACACTCCTGGGTTGAAGCAATTCTCCTGCCTCAGCCTCCCGAGTAGCTGGGACTACAGGCATGTGCCATGGTGCCTGACTTATTTTTCTATTTTTTTGTAAAGGCGGGGGTCTTGATCTTGCTCAGGCTGGTCTAGAACTCCTGACCTCAAGTGATCCTCCTGCCTTGCAAAGTGCTAGGATTACAGGTGTGAGCCACAATGCCCGGCCACGATAAAACTTTTATTTATTTTTTTAATTTCAATTTTATTTTTTGTAGAGACAGGGTCTGGCTATGTTGCCCAGGCTCGTCTAAAACTCCTAGCCTCAAGTGATCCTCCGGCCTCAGCCTCCCAAAGTGCTGGGATGACAGACATGAGCCACTGTGCTGAGCCTGATAAAACATTTTATCAAATGCTTCACCAAACAAATGCTTCATGGATTTTTATTTGTGACAATGATTTATGTGATTGTTTATGACTAGAAAGCCATCACTGCTCAGGTAGAAGAGAAGCGCAGAAAGAAGCAACAGGAGGAAGAACAAAGAAAGAAGGAAGAACAAGAAGAGGAGCGTCGATTAGCACGAGAACGAGAAGAGATGCAGAAACAGTATGAAGAAGACATACTTAAGCAAAAGCAAAAGGAAGTAGGTATTTATATTCTAACTTTAACATTTTAGAATAAAAATGGATGTTTTTAAAGGAAAAATACCAGAAGCTGGACTTTTCTTTGTATTTTGAAATTATGAAGCTATATGTGGAAACATTAAACCTCTGTGTGAAGAAAGTTAGGAAAGTAATAGGGAAGCTTGAGGTTTTATTTCACATTATATAGCTCACAAATGCTATATTGCTTTGGTGTTTCTTTCTGCTAAACAACGAGGTCAAGATGAGTTATTATAGCACAAACCAGAAGCTACCCATGTGCTTAATTTTTATCTACTCCTAGATACTAGGGGTTATCTATGCTTCATTTCTAAACAATTATTAGTGCAATTTTTCTAGTTAAGAGAAATGATTGGCCTTTCACTTGCGAACAGGCGCATATATTTGCAGAGTGACTGGCGAGACATGATGATACAGTTTGTAGTCGTGTTAGATGTTTCCTGTGTGCTAAATGGGCTTTAATAAAAGAGTAGATATCTGGTTGGCTGGGAGAACCCCTATATTAAGTGGTGCAAACAAGTTGAGTATGGTGATGTCAAGTGCCATGTTTGAGCTGACCTGACAAAGACATTCAGTTGCTAAAGGTTTAAAGGTTTAATGAGTAGAGCACAGATTCTGCATTTTCTTGCCTTTTCCCAGCTGGCAGCCTTTAGTTCAAAATTGGCTGATAAAGGGACACATGGTCTGGGTTCCAATTTCCTTGAGTTGAATAGGCTGAGCCAACCACCCCATGTGGCAACCATGTACATGAGGACATCAAAGTATTATCATTTGCTTGAACTGTAAGAAGTGGCTATAAACCTTGTGTTTTACCTTAACATTTATTTTTAAACTCAATAGAATTATGATAGAATTAACCATCAGTTTTTAAAACTATGAAAACTTTATTAGTATAAATTTGAAATGGATAAAAAGAGTTCTCATACAGATGTTAAAATGTAAGCTTCAAAAGGGTAGGAACTTTGTCCTGTTGACTGTTCTACCCCTAGTATCTAGACCAGTGCCTGACACACAGGAGAAGCTTAGAAAATATTTACTGAGAGAATAGTCAAGTCTGTGTTTACTAATTGTATTTAATAACTTGTGTACATGTTATTATTGATAGGAAATTATGACTCTGAAGACAAATGAGATTTTCCAGACAATGCAGCAAGCTCAGGAACTGGCACAGAGACTAAAACAAGAACAGAGAATCCGAGAATTGGCTCAAAAGGGACATGACACTTCCAGATTGATTAAAAATCTTGGCGGTAAGTGCTTAACCAAAATCTTATTTATAGTATTTTTTGAAGATGATTTTTAAAAATTATTATTATTATTATTATTTTTTTTTTTGAGACAGCCTCACTCTGTCACCTGGGCTAGAGTGCAGTGCCATCGTCATAGCTCACTGCAACGTTAAACTCCTGGACTCAGGCAATCCTCCTGCCCCAGCCTCCATAGTACCTGGGACTATAGGCACACGCCATGATGCCTGGCTAATTTTTCTGTTTTTAGGAGAGACAGGGTCTCACTTTTCCTTGGGCTGGTCTCAAACTCCTGAGCTCAAGGAATCCTCCCGCCTCAGCCTCCCACCGTGCTAGGATTATAAGTGTGAGCCACCATGCCTGGCCAATAATTGTCTATTTTATACCTTAACACATGTATTAACTAAATATTTTTAAAGGAATTTTAGACTTTAAATAATGTAACTTTAGAAATGTTTATTTGGAAAGTTGCTTTAAAAGTAGAACTAAATAAGGTTATACTTTTTGATATCTTTTCACATCTTATGTGTTGCTCACAGTAACCCCGTGACATAGGTAAAATGTATACTTTTGTGCCCATTTTTATAAAGAAAAAAATTCTAAGTGACCTGCCTAAATTCACGAAGGGATAAGAATGCTGGTAACCTCTTGTAAGAAAATTTAGGTTAACTCTTCTAAATTTTTATTACCATGTTCATTCTGATTAAACTAAAAGTCTTGTGAATATTTCAGTTGCTGCTATATAAAATTTTTATTAATATTCCTTAATGTCATTTTTATCAGATAATTTATTTCTCATTGTCAGTTGATACAATACAAGTGGAATATAATGCATCCACTAACAACATTTCAAATTCAAGACATGAATCTGATGAAGTCAGTGGTGAACTGAATACATGTATCAATTCTGCAGTTTCTCCTAAGAAGGATACTGGTGTACAAACAGGTATTTGTATAGAATTGTGATTTAAAATTTACTTAAAGTCACAAAGCAATTAAAATTAAGTTCAACTTTAAAAATTAAAGAAATTTGAGGTTTTCAATGAGTTAGAAAATAAAGGGGTAACAGCTTTGTTGAGATGTTACATACCATAAATTTGTCCTTTAAAAAAGTACAGTGTTTTTCAGTGTTTTTTAGTATGTTCAGAGTTGTGTAACCTTCACCACAATTTTAGAACATCTTCATCACTTTAAAAAGAAACCCATTAGCAGTCACGTTGTATTTCCCCTCTTTCCAGTTCACTTTCTGTCTTTGAATATTTGCCTGTTCTAGACATTTCATGTAGTTGGAATCATACCATATGTGGTCTTTTGTGCCTGGCTTCTGTCACTTAGCATAATGTTGTAAGGTTCACATGTTGTAGCATGTATCAGTACTTCATACCTTTTTATCACTGAATATTCCATTGTATGGCTATACCGCATTTGCTTATTCATTCATGAGTTGATGGGCATTTGGGTTATTTCCACCTTTTGGCTATTAAGAATATGCTACGAACATTCATGCACAAGTTTTTGCATGGACGTGTATGTTTTTAGTACTCTAGAGAGAGGAGTAGAATTGCTAATTCATATGGTAAATATGGTTAGCATTTTGAGGAACTACCACAGTTCTCCAAAGCAGCTGTACCGTTTTACATTCCTACCAGCAATGTATGAGGGTTCTGATTTCTCAGTATCCTTGCCATACTTGTTATTCTAGTGGTTGTGAAGTAGTATCTTATGATGTGGTTTTGATTTGAATTTCCCCAGTGACTGATGATGTTGAGCATCTTTTCATGTGTTGGCTTTAAATTTTTAAATAGGTAATAAGTTAATAGCCATGTTGGGTATTATCATAGGTCTCCATGATCGTGAGGCCCTTCAGCATTTCAGCCCTCCACCTGTCTTGGAAATCTTTTTTTTTTTTTTTAAATAACTTTGGGAAATCTTTTTACTTTTTAAACTAGTTACAAGTGGACTCTCCTGTCAGTATTAGTCCTTGGGCATTCCATGGCAACTTAAAAATTGAGACAAAAACCAATTTGGTTGTCCATAAGTTAGGAGATAATATTGTCTTAAGCCACTCTGGAGTTGGGTAGCCTCAAACCCAAAACGTTTTAAAGGAAATCCTTTTCCTAACAGCACTGTATTCTGCCAATTAATTTTAGACTCTAATATAGTACCAAATTAGTTGCATGGTATGATGGGGGATGGTGTTAGTGATTGTGCGGCATTGTGGGTATGTTTGGTGCCACTGAAATGTATGCTTAAAAATGGTTAAGATGAAGGTTTTTGTGAAATTGGAACCTTTGTGCACTGTTTGTGGAAATGTAAATTGGTGCAGCTGCTATAAAAGACAATATGGCAGGTCCTCAAAAGATTAAAAATAGAATCACCATATGATCTACCAATTCCACTTCTGGGTATATATCTCAAAAAACTGAAAGGAAGGCCTCAACTAGATATTTGGACACCTCTGTTATACACAGTAGCATTGTTTATAATAGCCAAAATGTGGAATCCACCAGTGTTCATGGTCAAATGAATGGATAAATAAAATGTGGTGTGTGTGTGTGTGTATTTCAACAATGAAATATTGTTTGGTGTTTAAAAAGGAAGGGAATTCTGACACATACCACAACATGGATGAACCTTGAGGACATTATGCTAGGTAAGCCAATCACAAAAAGATAAATGTGACTCCATTTATGTGAGGTATCTAGAATAGAAAATTCATAGAAACAAGATAGAATGGTGGTTGCTAGCAGCTGGGAAGGGGGAATGGGGAATTGTTCTTTAATGGGCATAGAGTTTTAGTTTTGAAAACTAAAGAAAAGTAAAGTCTTAGAGGGCAGTAACTAATAAAACTATTGGTCAAAATGGTAAGTCTTGTTATATTGTACAATTCTTCTAAATGAATCATTTGAAACTTTTTTTTTAGATGATTTAAATACAGGAATATTCACCAATGCAGAATCACACTATGGATCATTAACAGGGAGGGAAATTATACATTGCTCATCTCCTGGGATTTCAGCAGAATTTAATGGAGAGTTTAGCTCTAAGAAAAACAAGCAAGAATTAAGTCAGGATAAAGGAGCTAACTTAGAAAAAGAAAACAGTTGGTATAATGACCTGTGTAATCCAGAGAAACAAACAAAACACATGAAGAAATGCCATCAAAGGCCTGATTGGAATATAAATAAGCCACTCAAAAGGTATATTCCAGCATCAGAAAAGTACCCTAAACAGCTTCAGAAACAGAGAGAAGAAAAAAAAGTAAGAAGGCAGATGGAACTGCTTCATTTGGTAGAAAGAAATAATCCTGGACACCTCTCTCAACATAGAGGCATGTCACCAGATTTTCATTCATCTCATCAAGAAACTGAGTCAAAGTTCAGGTGGCATCTAGTCAAAAAGGTAAAGGTCTTCTGTCTTAAAAAGATATGTTTTAAGTGTAGGTATTGATGTTTCTAGATTCAAAACAGTGTTCCCCACATGCATGTTTTGATAAGGCTGTTTACACAAGAGTTAACAGAAATTTGCTTTAGTTTGTATTAGGGGTCAGCAAACTACAGTCTGTGGGGAAATCCACTGTGCCGTCTGCTTTCATAAATAAAGTTTAGTAGGAACACAGCCACACTCATTGTCTATGGCTGGCTTCATGCTACAACAGAGTTGGGTAGTAGAGACCGTATTGCTCAGAAAGCTGAGAATATTTACTGTGTAGTACAGAAAAAGTTTACACTTGAACAACTTCTGTAGGATGAATGCTACTCTTTATTCAAATACCCATTTAAAACGCTTGTTTATATAGTCAGTCCAGCAAACAATTTGGGAGATTGGTAATTACTGGATTAGTCTAACTCTAGGAAAAAAATAAATCTCTATTCCGTTGGGCACTCTTATTTAAATATTACTCAGATTATTTCAATAAGTAACCACTAAAAATATTTGTGGAGACATGTGGAAATGCTATAGATTCTTTTCTGCATTTATTTATCCATCTTTTAGGAAGAAGAACCTCTGAAAATTAATTCATGCAGCAAGGAAAGGTATGTTATTTAACAGATTAATTCCATAGCCAGTTGCCATTTTCTATGTGGGACAGAAATAGTACAAAACATCTGCTCAATATGATCGCACCACTGTACTCCAGCCTGGGCAACAGGGACTCCTGTCTCTTGAAAGAAAATTTTTAAAACCCTCAAAATCTAAGTGATATTAGGCACATATGTATATGAAGACAGTAATAGGAAAGGCTATGGCTTCCAGGTGAGGGGTAGAGGTTTAAGGGATAGGGTGGCACTTTCACTGGAGCTTGTAGACCCAAGTTGGACTGAGCCTGGGCAGGAACATGAGCAACAGTTTCCATTATCTCCAGACTTAGCTAAGCCATTTCGATTTTCCAGGTATGTCAACAGTGGAATAGGCATTTTGCTTGGATCAAGGGGGGAGGGAAGAAATGACTGATAGGATAGTGAGAAGTTAATAATGGCAGATTTAGAACCATTACAATTTTTATTCTTTTGTGCGTGAACCAGCTGGTTTAGAGTTGTCTCAGAATGGGGCTCTAAAAGCAAGCTTAGTTCAGATGATTTTTATGGTGAATTATCTAAGGAGAAGCATTAGGCTCAAATTAAAACCCAGCCAAGCATCGATCCTCAGGATCTAGTTATTTAATTCCCCTCTGTACTAGAGTACATATATCTTAGCTAGTGCCAGTAAAAACACAAATTAATCCCTTTCTATTTTATGGAGTTAGTGTAGAACTTTCTTGAGGTATCAGAGGTACATTTAGAATAAATTAAAATGTGACTAAAGAGGTATTTTTGAATTAAAGCTTCTCAGTCTATAATTGTTTTGTTTTGTAAATAGGTCTCAGTCATCACCAGTTCCAGCAGTGAAAAACAGAACCCAACAAACTCAGACTAATACTTTACACTTACCACTAAAAAACAGTAGCTTTGAAAGAGAGAATCCAATCTTGGGAGGTAGTCACATGGAATTATCACCGGGAATTTCTGAACCACCCCATTTTGTTCCCTATGTCCGAACAAATGAGATCTATTACCTTGATCCAGATGCACCATTGTCTAGGCCTTCAACACAGGACCCTCAGTACCAAAATTCACAAGGTAAGTGAATATAAGTATTATTACTGTAAAAAATCAAAGATCAATGTGAACCCCTAAGTTTAACTTCCAAATTAGTCATTTCTGCCCTTTGTTCTAGAAAGTCTTACTAAGAGTTGCCCCTGGAGAGGGGAAATAATTTCTGAAATCTTTCTTAGTACTCTCCTGGGATACAAATTTATTAATGAACCCTTAGAATACTACAGTATACAGCTTTATCATTAGGTATTTGACTTTTGTCACTTTCATCTGGCTTCAGACTGTGACCAAGAACAGCAGCAGCTATTTGACTGTGAACATGTCAGGGATCCACTTCTTAATCCTAACTTGGTGAGAAACAGGGATCGACAGCAAGCAATCCTTAAGGGACTTTCAGAACTGAGACAGGTAAGAAACATTTTCATCAAGTGTATGTGCGACTGTTCTTTTTGTAGGGGAGAACTGAATGGCTAAGTATTTTATGTGGCTTCACTGCAGTGCAGTTTTTAAGGAAAAAGTAGGACTTTCCTTGGATTTGCTTTCCCATTACCATCTTTAAGAATATTTTCCAGTATGACATCATAAGACAGTTCTAATATTAAGACAATTTTATTGAGTAAAAAATGCATACATTTGAATGATAAAACATCAATAAGGCCCTAAAACCAAAGACAAAAAATATACAATTATGCTTTAATAAATTCTCAGCAATGCAGCCCATGCTTTTTAAAAAATGTATTGCCAGTGTTTAGAACAGAACATTGACATCTGTCCCAAAGAATAATATAATTCAGTGTGAAATTGTATGTATAACCTTACCAGACTACTTTTTCTCCCAGACCAATTGTGACTTCTCATTATCTTGGTCTCGTATTAGAACAGGAAAATATTGTAACTTTGCTCCAAAGCTATATAACCTATCCCCTGGACTTTAATCCTTGTAAAATTGGTTCTACAGGCAGTTTTGATTTGTTGCATACTCTTTGTATTTGGGAAAAATAAGTTGTGCTGTTATAGGAGTGCCCTTTCCCACATCCAGTCATTTGCCAACACCTTCTGTATTTCACAATGTTGATTCAGATAATGCTTACCCATTCTTTCCCTCTATAATAGAGCCAGAAAATCATTCCACTTTGGCCCATTTACTCATGTGAAGACAAACTAATAACAGGGTTATTAAAAAGTAATAAAGTGTCCTTAGTTTTTTAAATAATTCAGCCTTAGTAACTAACTAATTCACACAAATTTTCCTTTACAGTGACAGGTGTTTTTTTTACTTCTAGCTTAATGGAAAGAAAAGTTGTGAGGGAAAGAGTGGTGTGTACATTTACCCACTGATACAAGGGCCCTGCTGAAATAAGACTGGGTGCTGTATTAGACACTAAGGTTAGAGTGCAGGCAAGATAACCATTTTAAGAGCACTTGGGGGTGGGGATAAGGGAGCATTTTATCTTAATCACCAGTTATGAAATTATGAAAAGTCATCCCTATTGGTTTTTATGCTAAAAATATCTTACAAATATGTAATAGTTACATAGTATCCAAATGTCTAGTGTAAGAATTACTGAAAAATTTTTTGAGTAGTAAAAATTTAATATGATATTTTATCCTGAGCTGCTTATGTAATATGTTCCAAGTAAATATAATTCTAGATTAACAGGACAGCAATATTAGATAGGAATCATTTGCAAGTTGGCTTACATAGTTTACTAACATATCAATGTGATTTCAGGGCCTTCTCCAGAAGCAAAAGGAGTTGGAAACTAATTTCATGCCTTTAGCTGCAAATCAAGAAGAGAATTTTAGTTCTTCGTTGTAAATGTAGAAAACCAAATCCTTAACATTTGATTTGTGTCTTCCAAATTATAAAATGTGCTCATGGCTCGACTGTATTTTTCAAATAGCCTAGATTTATTTTTTAAATGCTCATTAAAACTTGTACATTACATATAAGTGCTGTACTTTTAAAATAAATAATTTTTTGTAAAAGCTTAGTAGTAAAAAAAAAATTTTCTGCTGTGTCACAATCTGGGTATTTAAGCCCTATAACAACACTTTCTACTTACCTTATTATAGTCTGGAGTTCCTGACCTATTAATGTTCTTCCATATTTTTTATGGAACTTACTAATTGAAGTCACTCATGCATTTTGTTCTAACAGAAGTACTTTTGAGGTACCAAAGGTCTGTCTGACTTACTAACACATGTAGACTAATTTTTTGCTAAAATTCATCTTAGGATTTAGAGAAAGAAAAAATTTCCACCGGAGCCTGTTTTTATGACATGGAAACTGCAATTTTCAAAAACATTAGTAAAGAGAGGCAGTTGTTAGATTTCCACTATATAGTTTCAAGTATAGCACTAACGTGCTTAATAAAATGCTAATTACTACTACTGAGACCACCTCAGAAATATACTTCCATTTTTCTAAGACTACCAATTTAAAAATCTAAGCTTGTTTGTTCATTGCCTTTGATAAACAGAAACCTATCTTTTGAAAAATTTGGTTAAATCAAAGATCACACAAGCACTGAAAATTATCAAATACTCTCAAAAAGTTACCAGAATTTTAGTGACAGGCAGTTTTTACATGGCTAAGCCTAAAGATAAAAAATAATGCTGCTTGATATAAGTCCTATATACATAGTTTATATTATCTAAATGAAACTGCTTTGTTAGGTAAATCTTGAGGTATTGAGCCAAACTCCTGTAAATATTTATTAACATCATTGGCTTATACCTGTGTAAAAACACTTTTATATAAAAGTTTAAATCAAAATAAATACAATAGTTGATAATTCATTTCAGCAAAAGTAGTTTTGTATCATCTGACATTAGAGGAAGAAAAAGCCATTGCTCTTTACCATCTTTCTGCAAACATCTGGTTTTACATATAAAATAGGCTTCAATTTGAAGCTCAAGTACAAGCCCGAGTACAGGTGACACACAAATGTAAAACTTAAAAGTGCCAACATGAGATAATTCAAGTACAATATATGTTAAAAATATATATATATTTATTTCAATTTTTAGATGCTTCAACTGTTACAGGCCATCATGATTTAAATAAGAGAAAAAAAACATTTGGGAAAGGACAAGAAACCTTTTTTTAGAGAATGAAATACAAATTGTTAATTCACTTTTAAGAAACAGAAAAAATCCACAACAACCTATTAAAAAAAAGTTACTGTAATTATTTCTCTTTTGAATATGGCCTGGAAGAATCACTTTTTCCCCAACTTAATGGAGATGGAGACTTATCTCTATCCAAGCTTTGAGTATAAGCAGATAAAAAGTAATTTTCATTTTCTTGAGACTGACTTGATGAAAGGGCATATGGTGTCCCCAAAAATGTCTGGTGAGTGAGAACATTAAAATGACTAAACTGATGGGACATATTTAATTGACTGTGATAAACCTGAAAGTTGCTATATGAATCTTGTTCTGCTGAATTGCTGTTCTCTGCTTCAGAGCATACTATATCAATAGGAGCTCTCTCTTCAGAATCAATTTGATAAGTCTTATCTTCTAATAAACTGTTTTGCACGTCAAGAGACGATTGTAAATCAATTTGAATATTCGTTTTTTGATCTGTTCCACGTGATCCTTTGGTCTCTTTCGCCAATATTTCTGAATGAAAACTGCTGTATACTTCTATTTGTGAGATTTCATCCCCTGAATCCAGAGACATATCCTCTTCATCCTTTTCATCGTTTTCTAAAAGAGCTACATTTAAAAAACAAAAAGTCCTCCTCTATTGAAATACACAATTTGCTTAAGTTTGAAAATTATACACTACTCACACAATATAACGCGTCAGGGTCTGCAAGTCCACAATCCCTTAAAGCTTGGTCTTCTGCCACAAGTTCACTTAGTCACAACACTCACACTAGGTGTGAATGTCCAGATAATCCGATGCTAAAAGCTTCTGCGAAATGTGTTCACGTTTAATGTTGGGAAATCCCAACTCCCAGCTCCAAAGGGGTTAATGTCAAAACAGCATCTAAAGTTATACGGTAATTCAGTATTTGACAAGACAAATATGAAATAAAATTTGACATCTAGCTTCACTGGATTACTAAACTGGTTAGCTCTATCAAATGTTTGATCATCTCTGCTTTTCATTAAAAACAAAAGTACATTTTTCATTTTACATAAAACCTGGAATCAGCAGAGGCCATCTCAGAAAAGACTAAAGCTATGATAGCCCTGTCTTGTAATTAAATTGCCTTATATATTTGGGGAGATTTAGTAGCCCAATCTCCATATCTGGTTTTCTACTTTTTTCTTAATATGACCCCTTTGTTGACAACAGCGCCAATAATGCTTCCATACTCTCAAAGAGAAAATGCATACTCCATAGTATGTACTGTCTATAGTACAGACAGAAATGCATAATCTGTAGTAACTAACAAACTTGTATTGTCTACCGTATAATAAATGAGGAACTCTCGTGCATGCTAAGTATTAAGAGCAATAAATCTCTTGAAACACTTTCCCTAAGGCTATTTACACTGAGGTGAGTGGCTTCAAAATAGGCCATTTCATTATTTCACAACAGCAAAACCATTCCTCTTTTTCTATGTCCTAAAGAAAATGAAAACTACTGAAAAGTTACCTGACTGCGACTCAAGAGTGTCATTAGCACCAAGCAGTGGAAGGTTTTCTTCTGTGACTGAGTTGTGATAGCCCACAAGATTTTTAAAGTTTTGCATAAAGTCTTCAGCAGTTGCAACCACTATTCCATTCTCTGTATAACTAGAAAGCATCTTGATGTTCTTCTCTTAAAAAAAAAAAAAAAAAATTTCATGTATAAAGCACTGAAAATATGCATGGGTAAGTGACAATGACAATGCCTACCCCCCAGCCCTCATAAATCCTTTCTTCTACATTTTCAGAATTATAGCTTAACAGTCAACACCCACCACAGCCCCAGAAAATCCTTTCATCCACATTCCTATATTCATAGTAAAAAGCTTAAGAATGCTCTCTTTACCTGTTAAAAAGACTATGTGTCGTTGCTGTATGTTCTGGGCCTGAAGTCTGATAAGGCAATCCAATTCTGGTGCATTTCGAGTTTGTGAATCACACTGGTGGTATGACAAAATTTCAACCAGATGTTTCTTCTGATAGACATTCAGAAGCGTCAACAGACTTAGAGCTTTAGCATTCAATCTGTGAAGTTAAGCAGTTCAGTATCTGGGTCTGCATTTCTAAAATTTAATATGGAAATTTTTGCTAGGAATTAAAACCCTAATTTCTCAATTGAGGCTACAAATGACAACTGCACTGCTTTAGACTGCTGCCTGATGCAGGGGTGATTTTTAGGAGACAGGATGAGCAAAACTTGTATGACCACATTTAAGTCCAGTGGTTTCTTGGTGCAAGGCCTGAGCGCCAGCTATTTAGCTTAGGGTAAACTCTAAATCATTCTACTTACAAAATAATAAATTACAGTTACTTTTAGCTTTACTAACTTACCAACTTTAAGGAAGAACTCAGGACCAAAAAAAGTATAAATTTTTCCTTCAGAAAGTATAATACATGGTTCTGAGCTATTTCTATACTGCAAGGCAGGGCAACGATTGAAGAAATCAGTGGTTGTTGTCAGGAAGATGAGGTTACTAATAACTTTAGACAAGTCAGACCTTCGGGTCTCAGTGTTTGTTCTCTGAGTAAGACTTACCCTAAGCCAACTTTATAGGCTTTGAAGATCAACAAGTTTAAAAAAGTGAATTGCAAAAATTGTAAAACAGTTTAACACTTTAAAATTATTTAAGACTGAATTTTCTGAAGAGTATACTATGGAATATTAATAGGTATTTCAAGAAAATTTAGGAAATGCCGACTGACACAATGTAAAACAAAATTCTTACTTAGAGTTTCTCAGATCCTTTAATGTGTAAATACATTTTATGGACTCTAGTAGTAGAGCCCCAAACTCATCTGATTACATTTAGTCATTTGTGGACTCTCTCAAGTGATTAGTGCTCCAAGGACCTCACTTTGAGAAGTGACATCTAGGCATGTTAGAAATTACATGAATGAATGTTCTAATGATAAATCCTCATAAGGTCAAGATTAACCCGTGTCCAAAAATGCGACTTTATTAGCTACTTAAGGTAGTCCTCAGTTGGGAGAGGACCTGACCTAATTGGCATATACAGTTCAGTTTAGAGAAAAAAAAGCCAATCATTACATAGGATGATTATTCTAAACCCGCAAGTGACAAAGATTAAACCAATTTTACCTACACATGTAACTAGAAACTTCAACAAACTTCTAATTAAACAAGAATACTGTTTCCTCTTATAAAGGTTCGAATAATTCAGTATCTATACTCCCTTACGGCTGGCTACAGACATCTGTGAAAACTGAGGAACTGTAGATCCACAGTCTACAAATATGGGAAAAGAAAGAAATCTTGTGAGCACAATGTTAAAAATCAATAACCATCATGTAGTTAATTTTCCAAATCTTACCTGCCTAGTTCCTTTAGTTTTTTCTGAAATTTACAGTGGACTTTCCATTGCCATTTTCCTTCTGGAGTACTAAGTTCTTCAAGGAATGTCAAAAAATTTTTAAGGTTCTCTGTTAGAGATAATGAAGTTCATTTTTAATTCAATAAATAAGTCACTCCACAAGTGAATTATGGAAAAAGTGCTTGTTCATATTATGTAGAAACACCTACTTTCCTATGTATTATTTTCATTTCTCTTCTTTCCCTTCTAAGGGAATAAGACCTACATATCCCTAAAACTCAAAGAACATAACCTCTACACGTAAAAGAAAAAAAAAGTTGATGAAGTAACAAACCAGAGATGATCTAACTGCAGCAGGTGCAGAGAGACTTAACACCAGATTTAGAGGAAATGATTTGTAAAGACTAAGAAAATAGGAAAGAAATCTGAGGTAATAAAAGCTCAGGAAAAGACTGAAATGTACTAGTTATCTGGGAATGGCAGAATATGTGGACAATATATTAAAAACTGTAAGAGTTAGGAGAGAAATTTCATGCTCAAAAGAATGCATCATCTTACCAATTGTGACAACCTCTGGATTTAGAATTGATTCATCGGACACGATAAAACCACCAGATACAAATAATTCATTGTATGTATGATTTTTAACATCATCCAGGCTATCAACACCAGCAAAACTAACACAGGGGAGCTTCTTTAAAGTCACCAAGCCAGGTACCTGTTTAAATACCAAAATAAAAGTAGAAATAAGGAATGAAATGATAGACTTAAGTGTGAAGTAACCTATAGGAAAAGTCTAACAGAATGCATTATGGCTCACCTATCTATATTTAGTGCATTGCCTCTGGAAAGCCACACACAAAAATAATGATTCCCAACATTATTTCTCAGTATATAAACCAATATTTATATACTGGGACCTACCATGAACAGAACACTAAGGAAAAGGAGCTTATAATAGACCAGAAAACACAGAATGGACAAATGTCCTAACTTGTCTGTAATCTGTAGGTACAGTCAGAAATCAGATGAGGGCAAGAGCCTATACTGCAACAGTCAGCAAAGGCTTCAAAGACCAGTGGGACCTCATGAGAAAGGCTCGTAAGACTGAGGCAAGTACCTCCAAATCTAAGGGAAAAGGGGACTAGTTTGGCACAAAAAGGTTTTGCCTGGGACACACAAATGAAGAAGAGAACAATATAAAAGTCAGCAGACCTGTTGGCATTCAAAGATTCAGTACTTTTATTAGTTTTAACTATCTGAGTAGTAGGGAAGATCTGTGATGTGCCGCAATTTAAAATTCTGTGGAGATACAAACTTAAATCTCACAATCTGATTCATGGAAGTGTCCTTGAAATTTTATCTCCTTTAAAGCTTATTTTAAAAACAAAAGCTTTAGTCTCACATTAAGATTTAAAAATAAGAGAGTTTTTTAAAACCAAATAAGTAGTGAATTTGACTTAATAGTCTACCTTGTGAATGAAACCTGCAATGTCTTCATTTTGAATAATAATCAATAGTTTATCTAATTTCGATCTTCTTTCCAAAAACTGTTCTGGATGGCATTCTGTATTGCCTAATTTGGTAAGATACTCCTGTGAAAGGAAAACAACTAAATCAACATTTAAAAGCTTTTTTGCAAACACCAATGTAACACCAAAAATGCAAGATAAACTGATAAGCTTAACTACTACTAGGACACTATTATCGATGAACTTATACTCTGGGAGACCTCAGACACCATCAAATCTGCTCTTCTAAAGGTCAGCTTCACAGTCAAATGTTATAGTGCTATCAAAGCCAAGTAAATGCCAGTGCAGGGTGACAGAAAGAACCGTTAAGAACAATAGATTAGCTCAGGTTTTTAACCCAGCTTCCTTAGTTATTATGGGCCACCCCTATTTTCCTTTCCTTTCCAACAGTACTGCCACAAATAACTGAGGGTCTGCTTAGAAAGGGGTATCTGAAGGACAATCCTTCAGAGTTACAAAGCACTTTTATGACTGCTGTAGCTCCTTTAACTCAGAACAGCTCAAAAACCATTTGTATAGAGCTTCAGTACGTACAATGGTATTCACATACTAATTAGCTATTTCTGTTCAGCTCTGCCCTTCAAGCCAAGTAACTCTCCCAACTAACACTTTCCTCCACACTGGTGACATGTTACTACCTTTCACAGGACAGAGGTAGTAGTCCGGGCAGAGTTCCTTTCACTCTTTGCTTGCTGGTGGAATCCTGAACCCTGAAGCAAACTGCAGGATCCGGAGGTCACATTCCTCATTTTACAGACACAGGAGATTAATATTTTCAATCACAGCTGGTGAGATGGCCATAATCAAAATCCAGCTTATCTGGTGAGTCTACTGCTCTTTCAAGAGCTGCCTAAAGTGTCATACCCACAGAGAATGTTTTTGTGTATCCCTAAATTAATGCAGCATCTTCTGCGCTGATTTTGCTCTAAGCTTTGAAGCTTCTGGGTAGATCTCAGATCAGCTTATACTTTACCAAAAGGTAAATTACTGTCTGACACGCCTCCTGGCAATTTTTAGTCCATCTTTTCACATTAAGCTTTAAATGTAAGTTCAATTTAAGTAAACACTTGAAGTCACACAATACTATTTCAGTTTCACTACTCATAAAGTCTTTTGCTCTACTGTAATATTTTTGTTGGAAAATTTCCAATGGATATTGGTTAAAAATTACAGTTATAATCTGACTTCCTATCAGATTTGTAAAAGAGCAGTCTTTTTTCTATATAGTGACAGAAATATGATTTGTTCTATGCTAGGATGAGTTAAAAGCATCCTTCATAAGGAAATGCATTTCCTATCCCTTTAATTTAAATGTCACATAGGTATGTTATAATCCATTAAAAAAAGGTGAAGGGGGATGGGGGGAGGTGGAGTTATGCTAAGCCCACTAGGAACTGTCCCTAACCTATTCTCTCATCTAGCCCCACACAACATGCAGCTATGTCCCCACAGAATATTGTGCTTGGTATCATGCTGCTGGGGATGGGAAAAATCTGAGAAGCTCTACATCCAATCATACAAGGCAAAAACACAACCAAGGAATTTCTAGTAAGTCTGATTTCATCTTCCCAAGAAACCACAAGGAATCAGCAAGGAAAGCACAACTGAGTACTCTGATTCCTCTTTCATTTCCACGTCGTTCATGTCTTCACTGGATATACCCACAAAATGTGCGGACATCAGAGATCCTCAAACTGACAAAAGGCTCAGTAGTGCTGAGTTTCTGAGCTACTCTGGGCTATAAGCCACTTCTCTATAGTCTCTCTGCTTCCTTGAACAAAACAGGCAAAAACTCCAGTCATAGTAAGTAAATTCCATAAATGGGAGCAGGCATTTATTTCAAAACTCTAGGTATTCCCTTAAGGAATTAAAATCCTAGTTTAGTGAGTACTGATTAGTAATATTATACCAGTGATATACCTGTTCTAGTATGTTACCACTTATATACCTGTTAATAAACTTTACATATCTATGTCTATACCTATACACACGCTCAAAGGCATATGTGTCTATTTTTTTTTAAAACCAAATATACCTATACCTATACCTCTACCTCATAATGAGGAATCTCTCATGATTAAGGAGTCTTTCAGGATCATCAAGTTTTTCTGATCAATAAGGGCTGCAGGGAACCGTGACATGGCCAGGTTATCAAGAAACACCAAAAAAGTATCATTAGGCCATCCTTGGACAGTTTTGTTTTTCTATTTGATTGATAAAACCCCACGAGATAAACACAGGCAACGTACTTTACCTCTCTGTATTTTTCCCTTTCCTTCATTAAAAACCCAAGTAAGAAACATTTATAGTTTAAAAGTATTTGTAGTATGTATACAAATGCTCTAAAATGACAGTATAAAATAAGATGCTAAATCCTAAGATATTTAGATCATTGGTTCTGAATTTAGTTCTACTCTGAGTTATGAAACTATATGGTCAACATCTAAAAACAAAAAAGTCCATTTTATAGAGGTCAGACAACAAGACAAGTTTATACAGCATTGCTATTACCTTCTTGTTTAGTTACCTTTATTTCTTTACAGAGCACACTCTCTTCTTCTTCATGAATATAAAATTTCACAGTATTTTTCTGGACATCTTTCATGATTTTAACCAAACTATTAAATACTTCAGGTTCTAACTGGCTTATAAAATTTGAAAGAGCTGGTTGGGCAGAAATGTTTACATCACTGGGTGATTTTGTTGTTTCTTTTTCTACTGGTTCCCGGGCAGTATCACCAGGTACAGAATGGTCAGAAGTCACCATTAACTCCGTGGCATGATGTGGCTGGTTCATTTCTACTTCAGTTAAACTCAAAGTTGAAGAGGAATGCTGCTCATTAATGTTGGTGTCTTTCAAAGCATCACTACAAAGTGGCTCAAGGAGGTGTTTATTGTTGAGGTCACTTGAGGAAACTGGTATGACATGCTTTTCCAGAGGATTCAATGCTATCTTAGTACCAGAATCGTTAGGACTGACTGGTGGCAAATTCCCACCCTTGGCTGATGCTTTAATAATAATAGTATTTAGTTTCTCATGCAAGCCATCTACAAACTCCTGTACACCAGCTTTGGAAGTCTTAGAATATATGAACTCAGAAAGCCGTTTCATCTTCTCTTGTGTTGAAAAGATAGGTGTGGAAATCCTACTGACATATGAAACATTCTTTTGCTTCAAAATCTCTTCTATCTTCCTAGAAAAGAGATTGAACTCTCCTAACACTGTCCTTTCTGTGGTTTCGCTCACTGCAGGCGGCTCTTCTGCTGGCACACACTGCTCTTCCACTTTCACCACCTGACCTGTCAACACGTCATCCTCAGTGGTGCCCTTTAAGGTGTCTGTAAATGGAGAGGATGGAAACTGGTCATCAGAACTTCTCTGTCTACTTATTACCCGGGGGTCGTTAGGAAAGGTCTCCTGTGGTGGCAGGCACACCAGTTGTTCTTCTGGTGATTTCATACCTATATAGGAAGAGCAACCCAAAAAGATAGTATCTGAAAATACAAACTATTAAACCAGGGGACAAAAAGGTCAATATATATTTATAACTAATCATGCGTTGGAAGGTAAAATAAAAACCTCAAATTCTGGTATGAACTCTAATTCCTATGTGTCCTGCTTATGGGCTGGTCTTTGGATTTCAGTAGTCAGAGTAACAACTTTGTTTTTTTGTTCTTTTGTTTTAAGAGAGAGGGTCTCTTGTTCTGTCACCCAAGCTGGAGTGTAATGGCACGATCATAGCTCACTGTAGCCTCAAACTCCTTGGCTCAAGTAATCCTTCCATCTCAGCCTCCTGAGGAGCTGGGACTGTACAGGTACGCACCACCACGCCCGGCCAGTATTTTCCTTTTGTTGGGAAATGATTCCAAGAGAAAGCAGGATAACTACACTCCATTTGAAATAAAGAGGTCATTTAGTTAGTTTAATGAGACTATCACCTTTCACTCTTGACAACTAGCTCAATCCACAAAATCATACATTTTTTCTCACAAATCCTAAATTCAAACTTAGTATGTTTTGAGACTATATTTCAAAACAGGTACCCTAATTCCATTTTAAGAAACAAGGAGAAAAGAAAAAAAATCATGATCTTTGCCTAAAAGACCATATTATATCATTTTACCCTTTAAAAAATTACTAAAATTTTCAAACCTATTTTTAAAGATTTTACTCACATCAAATCTTTCAAAACAGCCTCAGTAGCAGTCAGCTTGTAACATTCTCTACCAATCCCAGTGGTTACCATTAACTACTGCACTCATTAATTACTGCAAAGGCTACTTGTCAACACAGTAAAAGACCAACAGTAGGTCTGTAGGTGGAAGTCAGAAGGGAGCAAAATATCCAATGTGCCAGGATAAGAGTTACAACTGTATGAAACTAATAAACCAGAAAACTCAAGTTCCATAAGATAATTCAGGCATACTTAATGTACTAAATATCTTTCTTAAATCTGCAACATTAAAATGGGGTTTAGTACACATAAAAAGTCAAGCAGGGTACATAAAAAATTGGTAACCATGACTGATGTATGAGGGGGAAACTAAGTGCCTAGGGCTACATTTACTTTCTGAAGTATTTTTATACTTCTATGATTTATATAATAATGTCAAATATCTGATATATTCAAATTTAAAAAAATTTGAATTGTTATTTTATAAAACAAATGGGTTGGAGAGAGAACTACCTGTAATTTTAAAACTTCTGAATTATTTATTATTTTATTATTTTTTTAGAGACAAGGTCTATGTTGACCAGGCTGGCCTCAAACTCCTGGGCTCAAGCAATCCTCCTCCCTGAGCCTCCCAAGTAGCTAGGATTACAGGCATGTGCCACTATACCTGGCTATTTATTATTTTAAATTAAATACTTGCTCCCAAAATTTATAGTTAAACATCAGACCAAAATAGCTAATGGAAATATTAAGCTGGAATATAATTTAAATCCACATGGAGAATTTTCCATATTAAAAACTGTAAACCAAACAAATCCCTTTTAAAAATATAAATAATCACCACCTAATTTTCTTTTGCACAAATCTCCCTATATGACTTAAGATCGAATTTTTTTTTTTTTTTCCAGACAGTCTCACTCTTTTACGCGGGCTAGAGTGAGTGCCATGGCGTCAGCCTAGCTCACAGCAACCTCAAACTCCTGGGCTCAAGCGATCCTCCTGCCTCAGCCTCCCGAGTAGCTGGGACTACAGGCATGCGCCATCATGCCCGGCTAATTTTTTCTATATATTTTTAGTTGTCCGATTAATTTCTTTCTATTTTTAGTAGAGACGGGGTCTCGCTCTTGCTCAGGCTGGTTTCGAATTCCTGAGCTCAAACAATCCGCCCGCCTCGGCCTCCCAGAGTGCTAGGATTACAGGCGTCAGCCACCGTGCCCGGCCTAAGAGCGACTTCATTATTTTGAAAAATTTTCACCAATAAATGATTTAAAAGATACATACATGTCAATATCCCTAATAATGCATTAAAAAAAATTTTTTTACTGTCATTAAAGCATTGCAATATTTTGACTTTTAAGTGAAAGGGGAGTATGAGTTCTCTAAAGACAGCATTTTTCAGATAGCTACATTTTTGCTTACAAAATATGAAGATGGTATCTCAAATAAGAGGAATGAAGATGTTGACGGAGCATTTTGAAGCATAAGATACGTGCTATTCCTAATGAGAAAGAATTATTGTTAGATACAAAACATGGATGAATCCCTGACACATAATGTTGACTGAAAGAGCCAAACACAAAAGAAAACATATGTAGGTTCCATTTATTTTAAGTTGAAGAACAGGTGAAACTAATCTATGGTAAAAGAAGCCAGATTAGTGGTTACTTGTTGGTAACAGGAAGAGTACTAACCAGCAGGATGCAGAAGAAAAATCTTCTGGAGTGCTAGAAATGTTCTACATCTTTATTTATGTACACATAAGTGTACATACATAATTTCATCAAGTTGTACACTAAAGACTTGTGCACTTTCCTATATCTGTTCCTTTTTTTTTAATCATCTTTTCCTAGGAGAAGGAAAGATTTCCTTGAAGAAAATTAGTAACTAAAAAAAATTTTTTTTCAATTCTCAAAGGAAAGGAATCACTATAAAGATCTACTAAGAATATAACATTCCTTACAAGTAAAAAAAAAAAAAAAACCCACTTACATTTCTAAAAGAGAAAGCTATAACAAAACGGGAACAATAAAAAAAGACCACCACCAAACTCTAAGCAAGAAAACAATGCCTATGACTATCTGCAAGGAAGCTGAATTCACTAAGCTCAGACAAAGGAAATTGTCCCCTAGGCACCTACCACAACTAGTAATACCTGTAAATGTTTCTGGAATCCAAAAGTTTGTTATTTAAACTATCTGCAGAAATTAGCTTTACAATTTTGAAGAAAAGGGTTAAAAAACTCAAGATTAGGAATAGTGTACATAAAATATAAATGGTTTCACCTCCTGGTACTTTTTAAATTTAAAAGAAACTTCTCATAGGATAGCCTACAAAAATGGATTAAGAAAATATTCTGGTCTTCCAAATCATCGTATCAGATATAATCCATTATAGGTGAAGAAAACAATCTACATGAATATTCAGTGACTTCTTTGAACACATTTTTTAATGATTTAAATATAAATATGGCATTATTCAAATTTTCTAAAATTAACAGAAATTAATGCTTTATTGATGGAGAAGTAGAAATGTAAGTAGCAATTCTGAAGAAGGGTGCATTGGGAGGAAAAGCAAAGCGAGCCTTCTCACCTGGTGTTTGTTTCTCACCATGTTTTCCCAGCTGGTCTTCTGGGCTTCTTGCATTCCCTCCTGAGGGAAAGCATCCATTAGATTTGTCGACACTCTTCACATATCAGTGATACTTGTTATGTACCTTTCAGATAACCCCAAATGGTCACAAATGCAAGTATTTTTTCCTTTGCCTAAAATAACCCTCAAGGGTAATTCAGAAATGGGAAGTTGCTTCCCTTTCCATTCAGCTGATGATGGAATAGCAACGCCTAGATGCTATGCTTTCAAATGCCCTTCAATACCAAGTATGAAAGTGTCTAAATTAGGAACGGTTAGGATAATGTCGTTATCAACTACTTCCCTATTTTGTTTCTCCCACTCAGTGTCTCCAGCTCATGAAGGAGTCCCAGTTCCCTCTCTATCACCTCCAGGCCTCTTGCCCTCTCTACTAAGGTACTAAGTAGAGGATGGTACTGGAGCCCATGGAAACACATCAAGTTTTAGAAATTCTTTTCAGAGTCCTTGGAGGTCTCAGCAAGTTCTAAGTCTTACACCAGTCTACTTTTTAGCAAAAAGTTGTTTTTTTTTCTTCAAAAGGTTAAATAAAGGTGTAGGAACTGGAAAAGATGTGTCCTGGAAATATTTTCAAAAATATTTAGCTAACGAAGATAAATAAGAACTTGGAATATTAAGAGTATGTATTCATGTGTGTATATATGTGTATCTTTGCACAGAGAAATTAGAATACTACAAAAAATGATAATCTTAACAACATTTGCTAAACTATTCTTGCCTCATGGTTCAATAAGTTTTCTTAGGATATTTGCATTTGATCGTTTCACACCATTCTCTAAAATGATCCAATTTCTTTAAGATAATCCAATATTAAGAAATCAAAGTTCTTTCTAAAAAATGAACCTCAATAGGACTACTTATTTAGATGACAGCTTGTCATGGTGAAGTTTACCTTAATAAGATGAGAAGACAGCATTTAATTGGTTGTCCAAAGAGCATCATTTCATCTCTGTAGCTACCTCATCTTACTAGAGTAAGTTCCCTGCCAACAATTTTCATTTGGAAGTCTGCATGCTAAACTCCATGGGGACAGTAAGTATGTCTTAAATCCCTGTTTTTAATAGGCCGTTTTGCAGATATTTGCTGATGCTGCCCAGGAACAGCAACACTCAGTGATGAGCATTATATTGCTCAAAATAAGACACTTAAGACATCACAGCCAAGTAAGATAAAGCACCTGGTGACCCAAGTGTAGAATCTAGGAAAGACGAAGCCCTTCAGAAAACTGGTCTCTAAATAAAATGAAGCAAACCTAAGTCCTAGTATACTTGTTCTTACCTGTAATTGGAATCAGTTTCCAATGTATTTCAGTCTCTTCAACATTATTTGACTTAGACTGTTGTTTGTGGAATCCATGTTCAATGGGAACAGTGGGACACAAACTGCAATCTTCAAAATTACCCATGTTAATTAAATTTGGATCCTAAAAATTAAAGTACACATTCAATAGCTTTCTTTTCAATTAATTTTAACATTAAGAATAAACAATTTTTCACAGAAAATTCACATGCTTCAATCTAAACAGTATAAATAAGTAAAATCAACATGGTAAAGTTATAATACTTTAGTCCAGGTAATAAATATTTTTGGTTCTGCAGGCCAGATACTCAACTCCACCCACAGAGTACAAAAGCAGCCACAGGCAACACCTAAATGAATGAGCATACCTGTGTTCCAATAAAACTTTAGTTACAAAAATAGTCAGCATGCTAAGTTTGATGTACACTGTTGACTAGATTTAGAATACTAAATATATCGGGAAATATTAACAATACGGGTTAGCTTCTCAGTGCCTACTTTATATACCTGCCATATTAGACTCCTATCATCATGCTCCCCCTAAAATAAATACCCCAAAAACTACATGGAGGAGAAAGGCTGGAGACATGTATACGACTTTTATTCAATGGCAGGGAAGAGAAAATGAAGGAAAGCATTAAATTAAAAGGAAGCTCTTAGGAATATGGTACCATCCTAGTACTGTTCCCAGTGATGCAGCCACTTCTTGGGGGACATAAGGCTACTTCTCAGCTAGAAATCGGTTCTCTATTCTAAGCACATATCATAAACTGGATGCCCTAATAAGCCAGGCTGAGAGTCACTTCAGAGATAATCCTTACAGCCACTCATCTTCCACTCCTATTTGCATGAGAAATACCAAGTACCTAACCTTGTTTGTTACACTGGTAAACTGCATTTGGTCTCATCTGCCTTACCTTTGCGTTCTCTGTTACTACCAGCAGAAAGCTGATGCTGTGAGGATTCAATTTTTTATGAAATAATATGGACATAACTCCCAATAAGCTGTTTCTGACAAATAGATTGCCCAGCCTTAGCTTTATCACAACAGGTGAACTTTAGACAATATATCAAGCCTATAAGCAGGAAGGAAAACAACTGCTTTGGCATTTATATCATTGTAACAAGGAATAACTTAGAGGTACCCTCCTAATCAGATACTTTTACTCAAAAGTATTATTTTATTTTCTGAAAGGAAAAACCACTCCCTGAAGCATGCTCACATCATCTCTTTCATACATACACTCACAAAAGCAAAGATAACCAAAAAACATATGCTTACTTCTTTCAAATGTAGCTTATGGTCAGTGCCTATGTCACTGGTAGAAATAGCAACAGGATACTTTAAAGATGCTGTATCAACTTCTAACAATGGGCTCTGAATACCCTTAAAATGTGCACTTTCAATTTTTACACAAGTAGGCTGCTCAAAGTCTTTCTTATCTAGGGTAGAGTTCAACTCATACTCATATTTTTGCCTCAGCATTTCATAGGCATCACCAGTGCTCAATCCTAAGGCTTTGTTGACTGTGTCTGTCAGGGATGCATCAGAATGGCGTGCATTTGCTAGTGTTTCTGATAGCCAATTAAAGAGCCTATGGATGTCAGCAACGCCGGAGCTACAGGTATCCTGCTGCTGCCGCCTCAAGTCAGCATCATGTTCAACTGAGCCAACAGGTTGTGGAGACTCTGAGAAAAAAGACAGAAAAGTCATTTCTTGAAGTTAAGTTTGAAAGCCGGCATAAAATTTTTTTAAATCAAATTCACCTAAAAAATTCGTTATCCCAACACATTTATGGTCATGAGCTCAACCAAACTGACTTAGATTTTACAAATATATCTATCCCTTACTTTATAAATATAATTAATTCTAAAATAAAAGTTATTTTTCATTTAAGCATTCTATTAACAGAAAAATGAGCTCATGTATCAGGTTGTAAATATGGAAAATATGTTAATAACCACATTGTAGTTACCTTAAACTCTACCACCAAAATCCCAAAGAGAACCAGATGCTTCACAACAGATGAAACATTTGCACTTGCTATTTTGCCAATTCTTAGGAGGCTATGTAAATTACACTTAAATCTACTTTAAGAAAAAGACTTAATTTGATTTCTGTTTTCTCCATACCTATTATATTTTGTCCTTAAGGCACTGGCCGACATTCTTAAAAGCTAAGTGGTATCTTGATTGACTAGGTTATTTAAATTTATAATAAAGCCAGGATATTAGAGACACAGAATCATCCTGAAGAAATCTCTGCAAAACTTATACCAAGAACAAAAAGCACTATGAGAGAAAACATATTAAGACATGGCTCCAAGCAGGTATAAATCAAGATAATGTGTACAACCAATGTATTTAAAAACTTCCAAAGGGAGTGACATTCAGCTTGACAATCAAGCTTTAATGCTTGGGTAGGGGTGGGGATTGGGTGAAGCCTGAGTAGACCTTAGGATTTCTAATTGAGGGAGGGTATAATGTACCACAGCAAAAATAAAAGAAACAATGGAATACATACTACATGATTCTAATTATACAAAATTACAGAGCAAAACAAAAAGCAGATCAGTAATGGGGTGAGGTTAACTACACAGGAACACAAGGGAACTTCTGGGGATAAAAATGTTCTATATATTGGAGTGGTGGTTACGCAGCTGTCAAAACTTATCAAACTGTGTACTTAAAATGGACACATTGTTTATAAATTAAACCTCAAAAAAGTTGATGTTAAAGTGTGGGGGATGGGGGTTAGGCAGTTACCTCTTATAAAACAAGTGGGTTCATCAAAAATCAAGATCAGGGTATTTTATAAGTTAGAACCCAACCTTCAAATCTTTACTTTCAGAAACAAAGTGTGCAAAATGACTAAAAAGAAGTAAGTGAGAAACATCTAGAAATGCAAGTCTGGCAGTCACCAGTTCTTGTTAATCTATATACCCTTCTTTCCCTGCCCCATTTCTCCTTTCGTCTATGACAATTAGCATGGCTTTCCCACCATTTTAATTATCGATGAAGCCTGATTTTCATCCAAAACTATTTTTTCACATACATAGAATTAGTCAATTACCAACTAAAACAGTACCAAAATTTAATCATCTTATTTACTGGGTGTCAATTATGTGCTCCATGCTAGGAAATACAGCAATTTAGGAACAATGCCTTGGAGTCAGTCAAAACTGAGTTCAAACATGGATTCTGCCTACATATTTAGGTAAAGTTATTTAACATATCTGAGATGGTTTACTCATTTGCAAAATAAGGATAATAATGCCTAACACTTGAGAACTAAATGAGTTCATATATCTAAAGCACCTAACACACATAGTGAGCACTTCAACTCTGAAGACACAGGTCAACAGTGTAAGATAGTAAGTATGTATAAGTAAGTGTTAACAGGTTTAGCACAGGTCACAACTTCAGCATAAGCTAAAAGAGAAGGAGACCATCAAGGAGCAGGAGGGCCAGAAAGCTGAGGAGAGTGCTAAACTACAAAGATAAAAGGCTTGAGAGAAATGGAAGATGTTTCAGGAAAAAAGAGAAAAAAAGGACTGACCACGATATACTCTAGGTAGGGGGAGAGAGATCAGCATGTCAGCGAAGAGTGGGAAACATGGCTGGACATAGCTGTAACAAAGCCTTGAAAGGCAAGTACGAAAGATGAGATAGGTAGCAAATCAGCAAAGCAATATTCAGAAGAACATGATACTGAAATGAGTATAAGAAAGTAATAAACCAGGAAGGCCACCAAGGAGTTAAGATTATAGACAAAGATGACAACACTGGAAAGAAAAAGAGGTCAAGTAAAGAAAAAACCATGGCAGTTATTGCAGAGAACAGCACTGTCAAATAGAACTTTCTGCAATGATGGAAATGTTCTTTATCTGTACTGTCTAATAACAGTTATGTCACTATTGAAATGTATTTTTCATTTTAATTAACTTAAACAACACACAGTATGTTGAATAGCACAAGAATAAAAGAAGCAAAGGAAAGCAGATAAATGGAAAGTGAGGATACAAATGTAGATTGCTAAGAGACCAAAATGTAATAAGGACATCGAATTTGAAAAGAGCCAAGTAAAATTGCTCAGTAAGAAACGTAGGAATACTCAGATCTACCATAGTCAATAACAGCAGCAGCATAAAATGCAGATTTTACATCAAAGTTCCCCGAATGCAAAAGAACTCATTTCATGCTTATGGACTAGCAACGAAAAGACCTTAAAAATCTAGATGATAGGCTGGGCGTGGTGGCTCACACCTGTAATCCTAGCACTTTGGGAAGCCTAGGCAGGAAGATTGCTTGAGGATAGGAGTTCGAGACTAGCCTGAGTAAGAGTGAGACCCTGTCTCTACTAAAAATAGAAAAATTAGCTGGGTGTGGTGGCATATGCCTGTAGTCCCAGCTGCTTGGGAGGCTGAGGCTGGAGGATCACTTGAGCCTAGGGGTTTGAGGTTGCAGTGAGCTATGATGATGCCACTGTATTCTAGCCGGGGCAAGAGAGCAAGACCCTGTCTCACAAAAAAAAAAAAATCTAGATAAAAATGCTTTAGCTTACTTGCAATATTGAATCAAACACACTTAAGACAAGCGTCTCCTATTTCTGTCTTTTTCTGTCAACTAAAACAAAACAAAGAAAAACAAAGGCCAAAGATATTCTTGGATTCCTAGGGTAAAAAAGAATGTGTACTGTACATGCATCTAAGAAATCTTATTTTCAAATTCACAAGGTTCCTTTGATTTAGTACCATCCTAAAAGATACCTAATATTCTAATGTAGTACTTCTCCAATTATAAAAATAAAGGAATATAAAAGGATAAGAGCTCCAATTAATAAGATAATAGCTGAGCATACTTTATTTTGTCATATTAGCCTAAAACAAACAATTAAAAAATCTGATGTACCAGGGTAGAAGTTGGCAAGTGTTTCCTGTACAGGACCAGAGAGTAAATATTTTAGGCTTCGTGCGCCATATAGTCTCTGTCCCAACTTTGCCACTATTTCATAAAAGCAGCTATATACACATAAATGAATGGGCATAGCTGTATTCCAATACAACTTTCTTTATAAAAACAGGGGACAGGCTGGATTTGGCCATCGGGCTTCAATTTGCAAGCCCTCGTACTCTAAGAAAGAACAGACCTACTTTATAATATTTTTGGATGTTATTATAAGAGTAATCTGATATTTTACCTTCATACAGATGGCAATTTTCAGATAAATTACTGGTTTTGGCGAGCTTTCTCATATTTTCAGGTAGATCCTCAAGCTTCCTCTTCAAGACAGTTTTCCTTCTCTTATCTTCTGTGTCTGACTCCCCACCCGCATTTTTTTTCCTACACTGAATTAAATTAATCAATTCTTTAACTCTATCCTTATCGTAATCCAAAGAATGAGATGACCTTTGCTTTCCAGGCATAATGCTTTCACCCCTTGAGTTATTTCGTTTTCCAAATTTCATTTTTGTACCATTCATTTCTTCTTCTTGACCTTCATAATCTGAAAGTGGACTAAACTGTTGAAGTTTTCTATTTTCTTCAAATAGCTCTTTTAATTTACAAATAGGTAACTGATACATTTCAGGCCGAAAAATATAAGTATGCAAACAATTATCAATATGGGATTTATTTTTTGGAGCCGAGTATAAGAATTTTCTATCATCTAATCGTGAATCATATGGAAACATAATAAACTCTCGTTTACCTGAACCAAAACCTCGCTTAAAAAATTCACTTACATACTTTTCAACAACAGAATGGAAATTTATAGTATTTATATTTTTGAATTCCTTTCGACACTGAATCAAAGCAAACTGTAAAAATTGAGCTATTTTTAATACATCTGGCATGCTCTCATGCCTCTCCTGTGGTGCTGCATTGGTTGAACCTTTTTGTGCTGTAAATAAACAAAAAAAAGCAAACCATGTTAGCAATCAAGAAACTAACCAAATACAGATCTAAGTATTGCCAAAGAAGTGTAACAACATTTATACATTAATGCTGAACCAAATGAGTATGTACCCTAATACATATATGTAACGTTGCAAATATATGAATAGCATGCTTGCAAATCTAGGAGCCTAAAATGGGCCAATAAGAAACTAAAACAAATGAAAGAACAGCACATATTTTTAAAGGAAAAAACACCCACTCGTTCAAGATCTTCATTTTCTATTGCTGCTAGGCAATTCAAATGGTGGCAAGAAAAATGTAAGGAGAAATAAAGAGGGAGGGCAAGATCTGAGCTCCAAGCAAAACAGTCTTACAAATGACAGTAATGTCACTCCTTCCTCTTATAAAGTAGCAACTTTAACTTCACATGAACAAACATACAGACACTGAGTAGCCACAATCAAGAAACTCATCCTTAATCCAACAGTGAAACCCATTCGTGGGAACTTTACCTTAATATAAAAGTTCATTCTTAGAAAAGGTGAATAACAAATTTTCTCTCACACTAGTGCCAAAAACTCTTATTAATTTTGAATGGCCTAACATTTAACTTGGTAATCAGTAAAATTTGAATGTAAAAATAAACTAAGCTAAAAAAACAATCATATAAAACCTTCATAAACTAAGCTATACTACTATAATAATTATAATCAAACTTTATTAGTGAGAGCACTGGTGAGACCCAAATAATTTTTCATAGTTAAAAAAAAAAAATCAAGTCATATAACTTGTGTTTTATATTGCTAATACCTCTTAATACCCCCAGTATTTCCCAAAACACGATGTAAGAAAGCCAAAATGTTTAGTGAGTTATCTGGAAAATTTCAATAAATATAGGTATCTATAAGTAACTAGATTTAGATATTCAAAGAACTTACAAGTAACTATGCCTCTAGGTTCTTGAAATAGAAACAAAGCATGCAGGACCCGAGACTTGGTAGTCTGATGTTCTAAAAAACAGAAGCCAAATTCATTAGCAATGTGTTTTAACTAAAAAGTTAAAAAACAATTATAAAAATTAAAGAGAGACCACCTACCATATGGAGAAACCATCTGATAAGGAGAGAGAAGAAAAAGGAATCCTCGGTCTCCCAAAGGTTTAACAAGAACCTGCATTTTGGGGGGAGGGAAGAAGTTGTATCTGCTTTATTATTACTTACTATAAGGCAGACACACAGCACTTTCTACTAATCGTAAAGAAAAAAGTTCTTAATCATCTTTTTAGGAAAAATATTGCTACTGAATTAAAAATTCCACCAACTCACTACTGATTAACGGGATTCTAATCGAAAATTCCTTAGTTTCCCTAACTTTAATGAAAAAATGTTACTGAAAGAATTCCCCTAATTAACTGTGAAACCAACTTGTTAATTCTTCCCTGAAGCTAAAATACAAGGACCAAACTAAAGACTTCAAATATTTTCCTCATCAATTCAAAGACATGTTATTAAACTGCCAAAGCAGTGTGCTGGATGCTGGATATAAAACATGCTTTGAAATGCTGCCTTTGAAGAGTTCAGGCTAAATCGCAAATGAAATATGTTACCATAATCTAATTCCACATATATTTAATGAACATTTTTCACATGTAAGGCAATTTGTCCTGCCAGAGATAACTTCAAAGACAAGCAACACAACGTCCTTGATCACGAAAAGTTTATAAATTGGGTAGAGAGCAACACAAGAAATTCCAATAATTACATAAGACAAAAAAGTTCCCTAAGAGATTTACAAAGCAACAGGAATGCAAAAAAGATAATTTGTTTATGGTAGTTAAAGATGGTCAAGAAAGGTTTACTGAAAGTGTATCGAAGGTGGATTTTGAAGGATGGGTATACAGACAAGAGCCTAAGATTATGGGAAGGACATTTCAGTAGAGGCAACATCATGAACAAAGGCAGGTTATGATATGATAGATTACAAGCATCACAGTACGTATGACTGGCAAAGGGGTGAGGACAGACTAAGATAAACGTATAGGACAAGTCTAGAAAGAAAGATCATAGGGCAGACTGTAAAAAGGCAAGAATGCCAGGTTATTCAGAATGTCCTGTACCCTTTTGAGCTGGACTGTTTCCTTAAAACAACAACAACAACAAAGACTTGACAGCACTGTGCAGGAGCTGGAAAAAAACAATATAATGCAACAAACTTTATTTCAGGGGCTATTGCAATAGTTCACAATGTTTTTGAGTAATTGAGAACTGTGTACAGCAACTGAACACAAAATGATAACTCTGAAAGAAAACTTGTCCTACCTAAATTCCCAAAACAATTCCAGTAAACGAAGTCTGTGTAAAAACTAATAATTTAAAGGGCAAAAAGTAACTGTGCTACTAATTCACATTTAATAAAAACATTGTTAGAACACTCAGAATTAAAATGGTGGTATGTTTGGAGGTTTCAGGTTGTCCTAGTTGACGAGCCCCCAGGGGCAACTTCTCCCTTTCAGTTTAATCTGTGCCAAAAATGAGTCTTTGATATCATCTGATGCTCAGTTTACTCTGGCAGTGCTCTTACAAGACAGATAGCAGAAGCAGGCTGGTGGCATGGGCGAGGTACAGTCAGGAGGTCAAATGACCAACTGACCAGGAGGGTCTCCATCTGGAGACCACTCTCAAGTCTGGAGAATCCTTTCTTTTTTCTTATGCCTATATTCAGTCTGGGTCAGTTACCAGGTGCTTCTTTCCTAATATGAGTTTAAGCTAGTCTTGTAAAGATAAGCTTCATTTTAAGGTTTCTAGAAGTTACATCTGTGCTGAGGTGACCCTGTCTCCTGGAAATCCCTGGGCCAAGGCTGGATCTGCAGACTGGGTTGCATCATACTGATAAGTGACACATAGTACTGGCACTGCAAGACACTTAAGTGGGCCTTATGGCTACCACTTACAGGCACAGCATGTCTCTTTGTAGTCTATGCAAGTGGACAATGTATCTGCAGAATTTTTGTTTCTACCACTTATAGCCACGGTATGTCTCTTGTAGTGTACACAAATGGACAATATATCTGCAAAATTTTTGTCTCAGATACAAATACTTTTTATCCAAAATATTTTATATATCACATCCCTTTTAACATTTTGTCCAACTCCTGCTTGTTAAAACAAAAAGTTGGGAAGCACAAATAAGATTTTTATGTTTTGTGTTCACTGAGGAAAACCAATTAGATCCCTTTAACCTGTCACCCACTCCAAATACCAGGTTTTATAAATCCCACTACTCAGTAGCCTAAAGACTCTTATACTTTAAAGGAGCCTTAATGTTTCCAGAAACCTGTCGAGTACAGGCAATCTACACCCAGAAATATCACTGAACTCTGACAGTTACGTGTGTGGCTTCAGCCCAAAGAAACACATTCTTCAGGAAAAAAAAAAAAAGAGAACCTGGGAACTCTGTGCTCCTGCTGCCACTATTATATCTCTTTTGTTCCCCTTCAGAAAAATAATTATTAATCCAATCTATGGATTTTTGTTATTTCATTGACTTTTCAGATAACATTACAGGAAATATGGTCAAAAAAATGTATAAGAAAGCATACAATGAGCTCACAGTCTTAAATCACTAAGTTTGGAAGGAAATAAGATATATTAAGTGAGATTTGGCAGAAAAAACAGATTCAAACACCCAAAGGCTTCAAACTGGAATTGTCAGATGCAAAATATAAAATACTTATGAAATGTTTAAATAAACAGAATCATACTTATTTTGCTTTTCCAAAAAAAAAAAACTGGGAAAAAAGTAATGAAATCCTATATGTTTAGGATGTAGGTGGGAGTACAATTTTTTAATAATCTTCAATTTCTTCCTCAATTATCGCTTCTTTGTTTACATCTTGTAATTTTTCCCCCTCAAATACCAATTTAATCAAGATTTAAAATTACTTACAGAATATCCTACTGTAATTTTTAAAATATTTCAAATCTAGTAATATATATCGTTTCTAAATTTTATTTTCCATTTGGTTATATTTTCCAGAGGTTGGTCTATACTGAGAGCTTGTTAAAGGATTAGTTATTACTTTCACCTTTTTCCATTCACATTTAGTCCTTTTAACTAATAATTATTTTATACGATATTTTATTCCTTTATAATGTCTTAAATTGAATGCTTAATTTCTTAACTTTCTCTTTTTTGTCATAAAAATACTCCCCCAATCTTATAAGAGTATAAATTTAGACAATACATCATACATTGTTGCATGTATTTCATATATTTTCCCAACGGTCTTCCCTACTTTATTATTTCCATAATTGTTACTATACACACACACATATACAATTTAAATTATAATACAAACTTTACCAAATTTTAACATTACCTAAAGTTAAATCATTTAATACAATTTACGTGCAATTACATTTCTCTCATTTTAAATGCCAGCTAGGTGGATAGTATGTGTTACTTGAAATAAAGATTGGTATATATAAAAAAAATGTTTAAATAAAATAATTGGCAGATGTGAAAACATGTTTGCATAAAAACTTGTAAACAAATGTTCACAGCAGCATTATTTATAATGGCCAAAAAGTAGAAACAACTGATAAATGAACAAAATGTGGTATTATCAAAACAATAAAATAATACTTTAGCCATAAAAAGGAATGAAGTTCTGACACATGCTACAACATGGATGAACCCTGAAAGTATCATGCTCAGTGAAAAGAAAGCCAGGCACAAAAGGCCACATATTGCATGATTCCATTTATATAAAATATCCAGAATAGACAAATCCATAGAGACAGAAGTTGATTAGTGGTTGTCAGGGACTGCGAGGAGGAGGGAATGCAGAATGAATGCTTAATGGGTATGAGGTTTCTTTTTGGAGTAATGAAATGTTTTGGAATCAGACAGTGGTGATGGTTGCACAACAGTGTGAATCTACTAAGAAAAACCATTGAATTGTACACTTTAAAATGGCTAAAATGGGCCAAGTATGGTGGCTCATGCCTGTCATCCTAGCACTCTGGGAGGCCAAGGCAGGAGGATCGCTTGAAGTCACAAGTTCAAGACCAGCCTGAGCAAGAGCAAAACCCCATCTCTACTAAAAATAGGAGAAATCAGCTGGGCGTGGTATGCACACTTGTAGTCCCACCTACTCAGGTGGCTGAGGCAAGAGGATTGCTTGAGCCCAGAAGTTTGAGGTTGTAGTGCACTACGATGACACCACCGCACAAGGTAATGCAGTGCTAAAACAGTACTTGGAACTGTACTAAGTACTAAAACAGTACTTGGAAGTGAGCATTCATTGACCATTTTTCTGACGTAAGTTAGAAGTAACAAAATATACCTCAAAAAAGTACAAGTTAAAACTAACAGCGGAATAAAATAGTAAAACAAAAATACAACAGAAAGGGCCAAAAATAAAATTTGGTTCTTAAGACTAATAAAATAGACAAACCTCTGGTGAAAGTGACTAATAAGGTAAAGAATAATGAAAATAACATGTAAAAGTACTGACAGCAGATACTAAAAAGAGACTATATAAATAATTCTATCCCAACAAATCTGAAAGCTGAGAATAGACAAATTCCTAAAAAACAAATAAATAAAACCATAACATATAGAAAATGACCCAAGAAAAAACAGAAAATCTGAAATGTTCTTTTAACTATTAAAAAATGGAATCAATACTTTAAAATCATCCATCTACCAAAGAAAACACAGTTTTGCAGTTAAATGCTACTCAACAAGTAAAGAATAGGTTATTATAATCATTTATATATCCATCTTTGCAAAAAGAAGAAACACTACCTACCTCATACTGAGAAGCTAGTATAACCTTCATATAAATACCAGACAGAGAGATACGAAAAAGCAAAACTGCAGGCCGATCTCACTCATCATCATAGATACAAAATTCCTAAACAAAACATTCACAGGCCCAATCCAGCAATTTGCTTAAGGGGAGGGGCTGTTCTACAGCAATGCAGGGGTAGTTTTAATACTGAAAAACTATAAATACAACTCACTTTATTAAGTTTATAGGATAAATATCATTTGTGATGGTTAATTTTATGTGTCAACTTGACTTGGCCAAGGGGTGCCCAGATATTTGGTCAAACATTATTCTGGGTGTTTCTGTGGGGGTATTTTTAGATGAATTTAACATT